GCACAGCCTCTTGCGCCCGCAATACGTATGTTACGGGAAACTGCTGAAGAAACATGACGGCGAGGCTGCGCACTGATTGTGACTGTGAAACATTGTGGTAGATTTATAATAACAGGAAAATCGGTTTTATACTTCGAAAGCAGCGGAAAGGTAAAAAGTGACCAATTGGTGGGCGGCTTTGAATTTTATTTTAATCGACTTGGCTGAAAATCAAAGTTATTGTTTGTATAATTATTGTGGCGACCAGGAAAGCGCAATTTCGGACCCTGCTACCCATACCTGTAAAGCCCATGTAAGGGAGTTTCCCCCCCCCCCCCCCCCCCCCCACCCTCCCTCCCTTTCAGGTGTCCGTGTTTCAAAGTCTCCCCGCCTCACCTACGGATGGTGGTTTTCTTAGAAAACGTAAAATGTCCCCTACACGTCTTTTCAGTGATTCTATGTCACTGTTATCTTCATAGGTGATGAAGTATCAGTTCATTATGATCCAATGATTGCTAAGCTTGTGGTGTGGTCAGAAAACAGAGAGCAGGCCTTGAGTTTACTGAAAGAATCTTTACAGCAATACAATGTACGTCAACTATAACCTATTGATCCCGGACTACAATCGATTCCTTATCTCTCTTGACTTTTTTTTTCTCAAATGCTCTACAAGGCAGCAGCACTGATGACCCATCCTTAAATCATTATCGTAAATGAATTTCTCAAGTTTATTCTTCGTAATTCATCCCAATCGTGGCCATCTTTATTCCCTTAAGTTTTGGTTTAAAATTTATTACGTTTTTGGTGTCATTTTTTTTGTGGGATTAACCTGACGTAATGAGCGCTTTTCATTAGTTTCGAAAGGGAGATAAATGGTATGAAAATTCCTGACAAGTTTCCGGAAAATCTGAAAATTGTTGAATTTCCGAATTGCGAACCATTGAACCGGAAATTCTGAAAACAAAACTAAATGGAACGGAAATTCCCGGGATGAAATTTTCCCTTTCCCTAACCCTTTTAGTCATTGTATTCGTCATTTATCAAGGAATTAAAAGTCTTTCTGTAAGAAAGACTTCATTTTTCACCGTTGTAGCTTTTGTGGAGCTCGCTTCTGACTTCTTGCTTTTATTTTCTTCTTCAACAGATTGTAGGATTGAACACAAACATTAGCTTCTTATCAAGTCTGTGTGAACACGGCCATTTTAAGGCAGGAGACGTTCACACTGACTTCATTAAGGTATCTTCAAATAAACTTCTAAATAAACTACGGCTGAAAATGTGCTGTTTTCTTAACTATTGCTGGTAATTCTTGTAAACGCATTTTGAGTTACAGAAGATAAGAAGCCCCAGAAAGCATTTCGGGGAAATTCTCTGCCAAATTTAACGAAATTTGAATCAAGCTTGAAAAAATGACCCTGATGTTTTTACGTTTGTCCACTTCCATCCACACTCGTAATCATTAATTTTCCTTACGTTCTAATTAGTTCTTCTCATTTCCTTTAAAATTTGATGGCCTGTGATCTGGCTGTTCTAGAAATCATTTTAAAAACGATAATCAATTTCCAATGCCTATTCCGTTTATTTACTTTTTTTTTTTTTCGTATTTAGTTTCTAAACTTGGTACTTTCTCCAAGTTTTGTCATTTCATCAACAATGAGCGTGACTTTAAATCTCTTTACTGCAGCAACACTATCAAGATCTATTCCCCGCAAAGGTACCCCTGAGCCATGAGATGCTGGCTCAAGCCAGCTTGGGACTTCTTCTCTTCGAGAGACAAGAGCAAGAAAGTCGAGCTTCACTCTCGAACGGTGAGGAGAGTCATAATTTAAAATTGCATGAGAAGGCAACAACTTTTATTTACTGGACTTTGATATCAAGTCGGGGTTTTTTCAACGAGTCGATAACGATATCCTGTTGATAATCACTGACCAAGTGTATATGCATTTATTTATTTGGGTCTTGTTATATTTTATTACTTCGTTGGTTATGATGAGAAGTCCCTTGTGGATAGCCGCGTAACGTCTAACTTCCGGGTTAAAAAATGCGTTTTAAAAACGCTTCCAGATATTCTCAACCTATCAGTAACGTCCTTGAAACACTTTTAACTTATTTGGAACCATCACAACTTCTCTTTTCTTTGGGGAAGCACAGTCTTGTCAGTCCAGTCCAGGACTGATTCGCAATCTGATTTTTTTAATGTTAACCTTAGTCTGGTTTTTTCTTATTTTTATGCTTGATGTAAACTTCACATTTGTTGATGTGTGTTAGTGCAGTCTTGTTTATTGGTTGTCGCTCTCTTTCTAACAGATCCCTTTTCAGTGTGGAATTCTACCACTAGTTTCCGAATGAACAATGTCGCTAAAAGGAGAATACGTCTCGATGATGGCGATAAAAGTAAGACAATTATTTGTTCTGTTCTGTTTTACTTTGTTGCTTTGCGAAATGCACATAAGAATCATTCGTATGGTTGTTGCAATTCTAAAGGACGATGAAAAAGTTAAGTAAAGACGGATTTGAAGCAACTAACACGTTGTAGTTTGGTAAAGTTTCTTAAATACAATAAACAGTCTTCAAAACAATTAGGGAGAGGGGTGAATCATTCTTGTGTGTAAATAGAAATTTAATGAGTGTTCGCAACGATACTTGACTGAACTAGAACTGAAACCGTCTTTTCATGTTATATTCACTTTTTCCTGTTATTTTCCCCCATTTTAGAGGTTTATGTTATTGTTTCTTACAACCAGGATGGCAGTTTTACACTGGAGGTAAGTTTGAACAATGGTGTAGTCTTTTAATTTGTCAACATCCCAATCAAGGCATTTAAAAGTTTCAACATGGCCAGAGTTATTGTTTTTACTCTTACTCTGCTTATCTCCACCTGGTTTGGTTAAACCTTCAATGAACTAGCATTCTATCCAGGAGGAGTAATGCAGTTTTTAATTGAACGTTGTGAAAGTCAAATCACTGTGGCAACTCATATAAGACACAGAGAATCCAGTAAACCAATCAAAACTTAACGCAAACACATGCAGCTGTCGCGAAGCGCGGGAAAACGTGCGCGAGCGAGTCACGGTTGATTTTGGTTTTACTTCTCCTGATTGGATGACAGAGTGGCGGGAATTTTTTTTTTAGCCAATCGCTTAGCGTAGTATTGCAAAACGTAGAATTACTGTCGGTGCTTAAAAGGAAAAAAAGGGCTCCAAAGGTATCAATGCCAAAGACAAGTAATAGTTGAATTTCATTGTATGATATCTTTTGTCCGGGTTGTTCAAAGGCCAAAGCTAACTTAGCATTAGCCAGTTTTGTAATATTTCAGTGAGGTTTTCGTTTTATATTGTTTGGCCTTTAGTCCATAGCCTGCGAACAGGCTCCCGGCGAGGACGGAAAAAAAATTTCGGCGAGCGCGAAACAGAAGAATTCGGAGAGCAAATCGATCGGGACGGGGACAGGGGAACCCCCTCGCTTCGTTCGGGCTCACCGGGAGCCTGTTCGCAGGCTATTAGTCCAAAATATTCAAAACATAAGCAGTGAGAAACATTTTTATACAGCAAAGTTAATGGGTTAGGGTTAACCGGTTTTTGAACAACCCGGCCCTTATCGGTAGCAACAGGTTGGAAATGTCGTATTCCATTCTTTTTAATGAGAAATTTCACGTTGTCGATTTTCGGTGAAGGCCTGAAGGTAACTGGTATAAATTCCTGATGATTAAAAGTGATTCCATGTCGTGTTTGATAGATCGAAGGTCGACGCATGCTCGTGAAAGGAAAGCTACAATCAGAAGGCTCAAAGATCAGCCTCGTAGCTAATGTAGATGGACGAATCTTTAAATCCTGGCTTGTCGATCAAGAGGGAACCCTGCACTTATTCACCAAGGTAAATTATTTGCCATATCTTAAGGGACGTTGAAGATTCAGCGAGAAATATTCATACCAATGTGATAACTCCGCAAAGATTCGTGAAGTCCCAGCAGCTGGTAGTTACAAGGTTCAATTACCAACCCGCTGTTCAGGAGAAGAGCCTGCACTAGTTACCCAAAACGTAAATAATAGTACAATTGGATTATGCAACCAAAAATGTCATGTTTTATATGGATGGGTCATATAACTTTCGACCATCATTTTGTAGTGGGTCACTCAGTTTTGTGCCAGATTGAAGGGGTGGGTCATGTGTTTTGTAACCACCACATTTTGAAATGCTCCACCTCCCCCCTCCTCCCCCCTTGTACTGTTTGACCAGTCTCTAATGACTTCATGTTGTTTTGCAACTTCTCCGAGACTCGGTGACGTCAAAAACGTTACGCAAAAATAATCACGCACACATCGACTTGGGCTAGATTCTGGCATTTTGTTCTGAAAAAGATTAATGCGCAGATTCCTGACTTAACATGGTTTTATTTCCGTTTCTGTTCTCAAATTCAGGATGGTTGTCACAAGGTTCGTCGCCCGGTTCCCAAGTTCCTGAGGGGTGGTCTCTCAGTAGCTTCTCAAGGTTCCGCCATGGCACCAATGACTGGCACTATTGTCAAGGTAAGCGAGAAAGTAAATAACGGTAAGTGAGGGAATAATCGCAAAGGTTTAGAGACTATTGAATTTGGAAGGGTTTAAGAACTTAGAGACGATTGGAACCGAATTATAATTATACAACAAGAGTCGGTATCTCCTCGGGTACTTTAAGGAGCAGTCGGAACCTCCTCGGTAAACACGGCGAAGAGTCGGAAACTCTTCAGGAAACCCAGTGGATAGTAGCAACCTCCTCGGGAAATTCGGATTTGTTTTGAAAGAGTCAGAACGTCTTCGGAAAAACTCAACGAATATCCAAAATCTCCCTGAATATCTATATGTGACGTTCAAGCTTCATAGATTGCTTTCGGTCTCTGTCCTGTCCTTCATATTTTAGATAAATCAGTGGCTTTCCAAATCGAGCGAGATTTTGGAGCAAGAGCATGGAACACACATGTAGTTAAGCTGTAATTCTTTTCATGTTATATCGTCGACCACAGGTATTTGTTGAGCCAGGACAGAGTGTCGAAGAAGGAGAAACGTTGGTCGTTATGGAGGCAATGAAGATGGAGGTATACTGGCGTATTTTTTTGTTTGTGAAATTCTCATTTCAAAGATGTTCGTAATCATCTAGTTTTTGTTCACTCTTGGTCCAGCCGGGTCATAGAGTGAGAAAACAGGCGGCTGAGAAGAAAGCGAGAAAATTGTTGTCTGAAAAATAAGCAGAACAAGAAGCTATTTCTCAGAAAGAAATAGGGTTTCGTTTCCGGAAAGATATTCAAAGTCTGAGAAAGGCTGGGGTTTTGAAATCTCGTACATAAGAAGTCCTGGAGTGAGGGGGATATGTGCTAATGTGCCGCTTTGCACCGCACTGATCTGCCCAGTTGC